AAAATTTTTTTTTAGAAAAGAGTTATGAAGTTAAGATTAAATGAATTAGGACAGGCCAGGTGCTCGGCATACCGTAGGCACTCTTCAAAAGCCAGTCCTCAGTTTCCTTTGTTTTTATTCCCATTTCTAATCCTCTCTCTACTTGTAAACCTTCTCCTGCCTATCACCCACTACCACCTACCCCACTCTGCTGCCTCCAGACGTACTCATTACACACACACACACACACACACACACACACACACACACACAATCACGCACGCATGCATACACACACATACACACGCACATAGGAATTTGTAATGTCACCACAGCTAGTTGACATAACATCTTTAAGTCTCAGTTTTTTTAATCTGGGAAGCAAGCACGATGCTGTACTTCCTGAGAGGCAGGAGAGTTATGAATAGAAAGCAGGATATAACTAGGAAGGATCGACAGTTGTGGTCAAGAGGGGCAAAAGGAGGTGACAGGCCAGGTGGTGGTGGTGGCGCACACCTTTAATCCCAGCACTTAGGAGACAGAGGCAGGCGGATCTCAGTGAGTTCGAGGCCAGCCTGGACTACAGAGCGAGATCCAGGACAGCCAGGGATACATAGAGAAACAATGTCTCAAAAAACCAAAAGCAAACCAAAACAAAAAGGTGACAGATTTTCTTACTTCCCATGCCTTTCTCTGTCAGTTCTCCAGCAGGACTTTAAACCCATCTACACTAAAGGGTTCCGGGCTAAAGTGAGGCTAGGTCACATTTGCTATACCAATCATCGCACCCAATGACTCAACCTCTCACTGTACGCCTGTCCCAGAGCCAATACTCAGATGGTAAGTGTTTCAGGGAAGGCATAGTGATAAAGCTATACATTTAAAGCATGGACAGTTTAACACAGAATTGCATTTGAGGCAGGTGTGGGCTTATTTCACACCAAAGACTATTTCTGAACAAAGAAACATGAACCGACTCATGTGTTATGCCGAAGTTCTCCTGCTGGTAATTGTTCTAAAGGGGGCCTTCCGCCTCAGTCATTGTCAGCTAGGAGATGAAAATGGATGGATGCTTTTCCTGACGAATATTTGAATTTCCAAGGTCTTGCGTTTCACACCCAGAACTATATTGCAGTCAACAATATAAGAAATAATCAATGAATCAACTTAAAAAAAAAAGAAAAAGAGAAAGCAAGAAAAGGATTCCCTTTGGGAAGAAGCCGAAAGCTATGCATAATTCATGATTAACAAATAATTTGCCACAGTTGTTTCAGGACTGCTCACATGAAACACCCGGCCCAGGGGTGCAAACACCACCCGCTCTGTGGATCGGTCAGAAGTGTTCGAGTGTCTTCTGGACTGTGTGATGGAGAAGTCCCAGGAGGCAGTAAGAGTGTGTCAGGGAAAAGGGGAGGAGATGAGACATACAGCGTCCTTCCTGGTAGGTTTGATTTGGGGGACAGTAATTTTGTGGACAACACGTGGCTATTACTTCATATGGCCCTGTGAAGGAATTTAGACCTTTTTCCCACATGCGCAGAATATTTAAATTTTTTTCCAAAGTGTGCTAATTGCAAAGACTAATGGGATCCAGTGGGATACTTGTGAACGTGCACGCACGGTGCTCTGATCGAACTAGCTGTCCTTTTCACCCTCACCCCGTGTGGTAGTGTGAGTGTAATTGGCTCCCACAGTCTCATGGGATGTGGCACTATTAGGAGGTGTGGCTTTGTTGGAGCGGGTATGGTCTTGTTGGAGGAAGTGTGTCACTGTGGGGGCGGGCTTTGAGGTTTCCTATGCTCAGGATACCACCCAGTGTCCCAGTCAACTTCCTGTTGCCTGCAAGATGTAGAACTCTCAGCTGCTACTCCAGTATCATGTCTGCCTGCATGCCGCCATGCTCCCCGCCATGATGATCACAGATTGAACCTCTGAACTATAAGCCACCCCAATTAAATGTTTCATGTATAAGAGTTGCCTTGGTCATGGTGTTTCTTCACAGCAATGGAAACCCTAACTAAGACACCCCAGCCCTTCCCAATATCTAGTGGTCACTGTTCTATTTTCAGACCCCCTTTTGTAGTTCCCATACATGTAAGAGAACAAGCAATACTCGTCTTTCTGTGTATATACACCACCTTCTATGTCTGTGCATCTGTTGATTGGCCCTGAAGATGACCTGTTAGGTATTTCCAGCAACACTACAATAAATGACCATGCAGGAATCTCTTCAGTAGGAGCTTACACTCTACCCTAGAGCAACAAGGAGCCATTAAAGACATTCATTCGGTGGCCCATCTCAGGTGATGGAGAAGTTGAACAGACCTGTACTTTGAAAAGATGATGCTGATATTGTGTGCAGGATGAACTGGACCTGGACACAAGGAGCTAAAGACAAGAGCCCGAGTAACCAATGCAGCTGATCCCAAGCCATCTCAAGGGGGATGCTGATTAAAAAGGGGTGTAGGTGCTGTTAAGGGGAGTGAAGACACGAGGATCTGAGGACAGTCGGGGAAAGCATTATGAGTCAGAATTGACAATAAGACATGAATGAGTCTTAAGTGAATTTAAATGACAGATTTCTCTCAGGAATAAAGTGAGACAGTTTTCCATTTAATCCTGGCTTTGAGAGCTGCTTCCCCTGTAGAATTAGTTAGAAGCTGCTTTTTTTTTTTTTTTTTTTTTTTTTTTTTTTTTTTTTTTTTTTTTGTGCCTGGCACTTGGCTCTGATGTTTACTTGTTTAAAAGACAATGTTATTTGGAATTTCCCATCTCTTCTATTCTTTAGGTTTTGGGAAGCCTGTCCAAAGTGACTCCTTCTTATAGACCCTTGTGTTCACATGGGGCACGCTTTCAGTGCCCTAACCTTGAATCTTTTTTTGTCTAGAGATAAGATGATGGGTAAAGATATGAACTTACATTAATAGAGTTTATATTTTAGGACCTCAAGATTTAAAATTATGTTTTGTTGTTGTTGTTGTTGTTGTTGTTGTTATTGTTGTGGTTTTAGTCTCATGTAACCCTTGGAAAATGTCCTCACATTTTCCAAGGATGACTTTGAACTTCTGATCCTTCTACCTCCTCCAGGGCTGGGATTATGGGCATGTGCCACCACACCCCATTTGTGTGGTACTGGAGATCAAACTCACGGCCTTGTGCATGTTGGGCAGGCACTGTACCACCTCAGCTACATCCCCAGGCCTGCTTCATGTTTTTAAAAAGAAACTTAAGGACCCGGACAAAGACTAAATATAACATTGTGTTCTGGAAGGATGGCCTGTACACATACCACTGGTTTAGGTAATGAATCAAAAAATATGCTGATTTTGTTTCAGAAGTGTTCGAAGCTCTTTGCAGTATCTTTCTAGTTATAGCTGCCGCTTTCATCTATAATAGTGTGAGGAGGTTTCCTTCTAAATAACTTGACGTTACATATGATGAAAACTAAGTGAAGGAAAAGCAAAAGCAATAGGAGCTTTTGAACAGCACAGGAGGCTTTCTGGTGTATGGGGAACAGTGAAAGTGTCCCCAGAGCTCATGAAGTTTGGGGGGCAGTTGGTGATTAGTCAGAACAAGAGGTTCAGAATCAGGAGATTCCAACCCTGCCTTGGCCATACGGGTCTATGTAGCAAACAAGCTGCTTTTTTCCCCCCTGAATCTCACCTGTGAAATAGGGATGGCGGTGTCCACCTCGGAATGTTAATGGCGAGAGATGGATATGTGATGGCACCTTCCAACCTGCCAAGTGTGTTGGGATCAGCTCCGATTGTCCTGACAGGTGCCAGGCTGCTCAGGTGCTGATTTATAATAGCTTTCCCAGAGATGGAGCGCGGGGAGTCACCTCCCCTTCACGGTGCACCAGCCCTAAAATGCATCTGTTGCTTCCTGATGATGTTATCCATCTTTAGGGGAAGGAACGTATTGATCTGTTTCCCTTAGAAGTGCTTCTGCGAATTGATCTGGCCGTTTTAGATGTTGCAGGCTTGCTAATGCCTCCGCCATCCCGGCTGTGGTTGGAAATGATCCTGCTGCAGGGAAAACGGCCTGATCGGTCTGACATCCTCCGGTCTGGTCTGGCTCCTCCAGGTCTGAGCAGCCGAGGCGCGGACGCTTAATTCCTGCAAGGGCTTTGTTATTCAAAAACAGCAGCAGTAACCTCGGAACAGGGTTTTGTTCCCAGCAGGAGGTGGTTGGGGCAGCCAGTGGCTGGTGTGTTCATGGTTTGGTTTTTGTTTTCTTATTTCCTTTACAATATCAAAGACAGAGAAGCAAAACCCATCCCATACTCCTGAAATAATTAAACCATTTCCGTCATTTCCCCCATTCCAAACCAAGATTCAACAGACACAGAAAAAGCACTAAATAAAATGCATGGAGTTTAAAAATCACATTCCTGTCACTTATTCTGAGCAACCTTGGGCGAGTCACCAGCCCCCCTCCACGCCTGAGTTTCTACTTTTGGAAAATGGGGGAATGACTAAGGCCCCACCTGGATTGGCTGTGACACCTTGTTCTGTGAGGCAAGTGAGCAATTCGTCTCTGGAGGGCAACACTACTCGGCCTTGATCGGGTACAATCTGTTTGTCACCGATGGCAGACATCCAAGGCCCTCAGACCAAAACTGTTGGTGTCTCTTAGCCAGCCTAAGCGCAGTAGTTATCGAAGTGGGCTGGCCACCTGAGCCCGTGCTGGAGAAGAGGCATCTCTGCTCCCCCAAAAGTCTTGACCCACAAAGAGAGGACCGGATGACGTCATCTCTGTCCTTTGGAGCTAGCGTCTTCCTGAATCTCATTCTCGCTGCTGCCGCCTGGCCTGCGGTGCATGAATTAGGGTCGCAAGTAGTAGGCTTGGAGAAGTGCTGGACAGGGACAGGGGAATGGGTGTGGGAATGGGTTAGCCCTGGAGGGGGGACCTCATTATTTCCAGAGTATTGGGGCGTCCTGACTCCCCAGCTTGTCTGGTTCACAGACACTTCACACTGATAAATACTTGTTAAGCACCAGACGCTGTAAAGATGGATTTTAGGAACTTCTGCCCAAAACAAAATACTCTTGAATAAAAAATAGAAAAATCAGACAGGAGACTGCACAAACACTCCTGTTACGCACAAGAGCTTTTGGGGGACTAGAAAGAACGGTTTTCACTAAGGCAAAAGTGAGCACACACCTGCTGTGTAAATGTAGATGCTGTGGAGCAGAACATGTGGAACAGAGGGGTCTCTGGGGGCAGGTTGAGAGGAGATGAAATCAGATCCTAGTCTTGTTCCTCCCAGCTGTGGGGTGTGGGAGCCCACAGAGGCTCCCTAGTAAGACCTTGCTCAAGGTCAGAGAATCCGAGCTTGCTTTACCCAGCAGGGCCGTAGAATGGGGGTGATTTGGCCACGGGTGTGGTTACCAGGTGTTTGGAAGGGTCTGCACTTGGCTGTGCAGTGTGTTTTGATCTAGGGGGAGAGGAGGAGGTCTTTTGCCTCCCCCCCTGGATAATGTATAAAAAGCACATTAGAACAGATCTTGAGGCAACTGGGCCCTCCAGAAGCTATCCTGTGTCTCTGTCTTTCTCATCGTCTCTATCTTTCTATCATTTCCTCATCCTTCTCTCCTCCCCCCAAGAATTCTTCAGCAGGTCAGAGCTGATCTCCCACAGACTCTGACAGCGGGAAGTTGAACCAGCTACTCCATCTTCTTCGCTACCAGTTTCCTCATCTCTGGGTGGGGTGATGGTACTACCCCCACCTCACATGGCTGCTGCCTCAATGAAATGAAATAATGCGTGAGAAGTGCCCTGCACAATCTCCAACCCAGGAGAGACCTCCACCAGGAGTACAAATGCCGTCAGTCACGGCTGCTGGGTGTCCTTTCTCATGAAGGTGAGAGGTCGTTCTCGGCCCCTGTGCGGAGGAAGTAAAAAGTACAAAGCGTAGAAAGTGGGTACGAGGTCACAGCGTTTGTGTTAATTACGTTTCTCATTGCTGTAACAAAAATGCCTGGAAAAGGAAGAGTTTGTTTGGATTTGTGGGTGGCAGTGGGACCGTCCATTCTGGAAGGTAGCACTGTGGGGCCACTGATCACCTTGAATCTGCGATCGGGAAGGAAAGAGATGCACCCAGGACTCACTGGTTTTCTTGTTCATTTCCCAACTTTTATTCAACTGGACATCCAGACTACATTTAGGAGTGGTTTAGGGTGAGATTTTGTTTTGTTTTGTTTTGTTTTTCTTTTTCTTTTCTTTTTTTCTTTTTTCTTTCTTTTTTTTCTTTTTTCTTGATTAACTCTTTCTGGAAACACTTTCACAGACACATCCAGAGATGTGTCTCCTAGGTGATTCCAAATCCGGTCAAGCTGGCAACAAAGAACAGCCATCATAGCCTTTGTGCCCACATATGATTAGTAGTCCCTCTCCTGTTGCTGAAACTGAACACCAGTGTGCCCAGAATACATGTTTCTTTGGCTCATGCTAGGAAGTTCAACACTGGGCAGCGGCGGCCGGTGAGGTCCTTCTTGTTGGCGTGGACTCCGCAGAGTCCTGAGGAGCATGGGGCACCTAGAAGGAGGCAGAGCCAAGGATATCTCAGCTGCTTCCTCCTCTTATGAAGCCACAGTCCTACTGAATGAGGGGCCTCACCTTACCTCCTCTATAAGCATTAATAACCTCCCTAAGGCCCCGTCACCAAATGTCACAAGTTAAGTGTTCCACACTCTTAAAACCACACAGTGATGATTATATTTCAAGATGAAATTTGATGGAGATATTAAAACTTTGCCTCCAGGGGAATAAAAATATTAAACAGAACTCTTGCTACCGGTGTTGCAA